GGGTCCATTTTGCAAAATGTAATAAATCCTCATGCTTGTTGCATCTCCTGGTCTGAGGACTGAGTTATTGGGGAGTGGCCTCCTATGGACATTGGGTACCCCAAACTGGGGTTCCAACACTTCCATGGGCATAACACAACACAGGTGCACTTACATGCATGCAGGCAATACACACATACACATAAAAATAAAATATTAAAAGGAGTGATTCACCACCTTTCTTTCTATAAGCAACATGGCATGCTAAAATGAGGATCAATGGCACATTTAACACAGCTAGAACCAGCTAATCGGTGTGGAAAACCAGAAACAACTAATTCCCTTAATACTAGAGATTCTCAACTAAAACAGACTTACCTAGCAATGGTGAACACAATAGATCTAGCTTTGGTTCCTGTACTGGACCTTCCGATTGGGTCAATTCACCTTCCTCCAGGGAAGGAAAATCTATCACTTCCATTCCTTCTGTTCTCACGTTAATCCTGGTTTGAGATGTATCCAAAGATTGGGAAGAGTCCCTCTCTGCTCTCTGAAACAGTAATTTTAGAGGAAAACATGCTGTCATGAATTAATACACATTAGCACTTAGATTATCGGTGCTCATGGTATATTTAATGACATTCTCACCAGAGTTTGGAAAAAAGAAAGCTTGTTCCTTCTGTGCCTGTCTCACCACACTAATCACCTTTAGACCTCTTGTTCTCACTCCCATCTCTTCCTACCAGACAAGCATTGATACTCATACTGTATTTTAAGTTCTCACTGTTAAGTCAATAGATTTGGTACTACATGACAAAACCATACTGTGGTTTTAAAAAAAGCTTAGCAAGTATTTCTAAGCCTAAAGCTACACTGCTCCCTACATATAGCCAGTTTACTGACACATCAACCAGGCTGGTTTCTAGGACTCCTGGCTCTTTCCAGTTTAAAACATTATCACCTCAGCAGGGCGTGGTGGCGCACAGCTTTAGTTCCAGCAGTAGGAGGGCAGAGGCAGGCGGATCTCTGTAAATTCAAGGCCAGCCTGCTCTACATAGCCGAGTTCCAGGTCAGCTGCGGCTACAAGGAGACCCTGCCTCAAAAAGACAAAAAAAAAAAAAAAAAAAAAAAAAAAAATACACATTATCACCTCTATGATCAATGACATTTTTGTTTCTTGACTATTTACCCTGATTTTAGAGTCATGAATCAAATCATGCTTCTGAAACTATGGTAAAGGACCAGTTTTCCTACTTGACATTCATCAGACAGACACACTTTGTTAAAACGCCTACAAAAATTAGTAAATAGAAATCTAATCTTTTTTTTTTTAATGTGTGTGTAAGTGTATTGTCTGCATGTATGTTAGTGCATTTGTGTTGAGCAATACCCATGGAGGTCAGAAGATGGCATCGGAAACCCTACAAGGGCTGTTAGCCGCCACATGGATGTTGGGATTCAAATCTGGGCCCTCAGCAAGAGCAGCCAGTGCTCTTAATCTGAGTCATCTCTCCAGCCCCATCCCCCATAGTCTGGAACTCCCTATGTAGACAAGGCTGGCCTTGAACTCACAGAGACCCACCTGCCTCTGCTTCCCGAGTGCTGGGATTAAAGGCAAAGGCATGTACCACCACACCTTTTACTGTCATTTCTTTTACAGTCATTTTAAAATAATTTAATGAGGAATGAGAACCAATCAATCTAGATTAACAGCATCATTATTCCTCAACTAAAAAAGTGTAGCAATAAAATTTTATATTAAAACATTCCATATTTATTATCTGACAATCACATTTACTAGCATATTGTTGAACATCATTTACTAGCATATTATTGAACATTTTAGAATATCTTACTTTGTTTTATAACTCTGCTCCATAATTTTCTCTATTTTTCATATAAGGAAATTCAATTTTCTTCAAAATTCTTAATTTACGTTAGAGAATCTACTGGGTTCAAGAGCCTTTTAGGTAACTGGTACTAACAAAACTCTGCAACTTCTTCCGCAGTAATCCTGGTCCATCTCTATAAACTCTGATGGGTTTGTTGCCTTGTTTTTTGGTCTTTTTTTTGGAGCTGAGGACTGAACCCAGGGCCTTGTGCCACCATTGAGCTAAATCCCCAACCCCAAACTTTGATGGGTTTGTATAAAGTCAATTTCATTTGCTTTTCTCTTTGCCATTTTTGTCTACTTGCAGTTTCTCATTACCTAAAATCTTTAAATAAGTCACTCAATTTTAATTTTATTTAATGTAAAAACATGAGATAATATTACATTGATGGCAATTTTAAATATATACTGCCTTGATTTTCATTACTTTTTAAATATTTCTGGACTTTTCTTCTTGGACAACTTGAACATTTTTAAGAGAAAACAGACATTGTTAATTCCTAGATGTCATAAATCCATAAAAATATCACAATTTAGAGGATTCTTTGTTTTTCTAATAAGATTTCTCTTTAAAGAAGTGTTTTCAGTATTTAAAATTCATTAATAAAATGCTTTTGCAGTAAATTTCAAAAGATGTCTTAACTATTCACTGTACAACAACAGTAATATAAATATACCTAGAAAAAAAAGATTGAAGAAAAATATTCTAAAACAAAACTACCCATCTGTGGCTGTGAGGTTATATGGAAGGGTCGAACTCTGACATTCCAAAATATCTCAGCAACTTCTATGTCAGATAAATCAGTCAACTAAATAGGATCAAACGTGCTATTTAGAAGAAACATGCATTTATACCTTTCTAACATTTGGTATTAGAAGAAACTTGAGAATGAGTACTTTTTTTCCTTTGAGAACACTCCATTTTTCAGGGGCAGCAGGCCAATAAAAGGTTAAAAAGTAAGGAAAATTCTAGTCATTTTGTGGATCTCACCATGGCAAAATTTCCAGTCCCAACTTACTCCTCAGCCTTTTGAGCATGGTTTGAGCCTGGATGTTGATTACACTCCTCACACTGCAAATCTCTAGGTACTTCCTGCTTCACTCTGCGGCTCCCTGTCTTGCTATGCCAGTTATCTACCCAGATTTCTAGTTCATGGTTAAAAATAAAGAGCACCATCTACTAAAGGCCTTGCTATTTCATCACATTTTTGCAACGTGACTTCCAGGCCAGCTGGGGCTACAGGGAGACCCTGTCTCAAAAATACTAAAAAAAAAAAAATATATATTAACCTCAATCAACATTCCTTTTCTTGTATTATATATTTTTCTACAATGTTTCCACCATACAAATATTTTTGCTATGCCCTTTTAATCAATGTAAAAAAGCCCTCTAGGTGTGGTGGCTCATTTGAAACAGTCAAACCTGAAGAGTGAAAAAGGTTTTTTTAAAAAAAAGTGAACAGAATCATCCAAGGGACATACTGGGACATAATCAAGCTGACTCTGTATGCATTATGTGAATTCTAGTCAAAAGAAAAGAGAAAAAGGCAGTGGGGCTGGGGATGTAGCTCAAGGGTAATACAGAGCTAGCCTCCCACATGCAGAACTCTGGATTCATTCCCCAGTACCTCAAAAAGAAAAGTCTATCTAAAAAGATAAGAAACTCCCTCAGTTGGCTGCAGGTGGTACTGTAGTTACTGCACAGTCCACTGCCTCCCATAACTATACTCAGTAACTATGTTTCCAAACAAACAACAAAAAGCTGATGCTGAGTGTGGTGACACATGCCTATAATCCAGCATTTAGGAGACAAGAGGAGAATTAGAAATTCAAGAGCAGCTTGAGCTAGCGAGTTCTAGTTCAGCCTGGGCTGTATAAGGGAAACCCTATTACAAAAACAGTAAATAAATAAATGCAGAGGATTGCTCACCATAGATCACCTCACTTTGACTAGAAAAGTGCAAGCCTGGGTTGAATCCCTACCCGCCCCCGAAAAAAAAGAACTGCCAAAATGTTTACTTGGGCTGGGTGTGGTGGAGCATACTGTAATCCCAATATTCAGAAGGCAGTAGGATAGTGAACTAAGAGGCCAATCTATGCAACATATCAAGTTCCATACAAGACCTTGTCTCAGAAAAAAAAAAAAGACAAAATATATAAACAAGGTCAAACTATATTCTGTCTAAAAAATACTGAGTTTGGGCCGGGCGGTGGTGCACACCTTTAGTCTCAGCACTCGGGCGGCGGAAGCAGGCAGATCTCTGTGAGTTCAAAGCCAGTTTGGTCTACATATAGAGTTCCAGGCCAGCTGGGACTACAAGGAGACCCAGTCTTAAAAAGACCCCCCCTCAAAAAAAAAAGTTTGGACACACAGGCTGAAAGTCAAAGGATATCAGAAGACATTCCATGCAATGGTTACCAAAAACAGAGGAGAGCTGTACTAGTACCAAACGTTTCATATTTTAAACTGCTACAATAAACAAAGGACATTATATAATGACAAAAGGGTCAGCTCATAAGATGTAGCAGTTATCACTATAACTGTATACATGCCAAACATCAGAGCTCCTAAATACTTAAAGCAACTAGCAGAACTGAAGGGAAGTCTACAGTGAATGGCAGATTGCATCAAAGCAGACAGAAGATCAAAGAAACAGAGGACCAGCCAGATGTGGCCCACTCCTTTAATCCCAGCACTCTGGAGGCAGAGGCAGCCAGATCTCTGTGAGTTTAAGGCCAGCATGGTCTACATAGCCAGTTCAAGGCCAGCTGGGGCTACAGGGAGACCTCATCTCGAAAAAAAACAGGATTTGAAGAATATCATAGACCAATCGAACCTAACATACATAGCACTGCACCTAATAATAAAACACACATTCTTCAGGGCTAGAGAGATGGCTCAGTGGTTAAGAGCACTGACTGCTCTTGCAGAGGACCCGACCCAGGTTTGATTCCCAGTTACCCACATGGCTGCTAACAACGATCCTTAACTCCAGTTCCAGGGGATCTGATGCCTGCCTTCTTCTGATCTCCATGGGCACTGCATGACACAGGTGCACTTACATATATCCAGGCAATACACTCATACACATAAAATTAAAAAATATTTTTTTAATAAAGGAAAAAAGAAAAGCCAAACAAATTCCTAGGAACATACTGTGATAATGACTTCTACAATATAGACATACTCCTGGACGAATTCCTTTTACCTATCCTTGCAAACAAAAAGGTAATCTTTGTTTATAGTGCAGACAAACTCATTGAGCTGTGTGCTCCTCTTGTGACCCAGGAATAAAGCCTTAATCCCACATGACCTTTCCTTGTCCTTAACCCAAAACAGTGTGTGTGTGTGTGTGTGTGTGTGTGTGTGTGTGTGTGTTTCAAGAAAGTGCTTCGAACAGCATGGATGGCAGATATTCATCAAAGATATGAAGATTACCCATCTGTGGGATTAAATTGTTAATGTGTCTGTTTGTGGTTGTGTGTATGCTAGTTTGTGTGTATGCTAGTAAGGATCAGAAAGGGCAAAATTCTCTGATAAGGATTTGACTTTTCCATCCCCATTTCATGCTGGATATAGTGTTTCAATAAAAGAAAGAGCAGGCCCTTGTTCAGGAACAGTTCTGAGAGAAATCTGAATTAACAAGTTTTCAGCAGTT